CGGTTTCCCGGCGGCATACCCATGGGCGTGTTGGTTGACGGAGGAGGTCGATCTGGTGGTCCAGCCGCGGATGCACATGAATTTGCCATCGAAAGCTTGGTTCGGCCTCGGCCAGAACCATCACTGGTGCCACCCGCGGGCGTCATTACCTCGTTGGAGTTTTTCCGGTGTGATTCACGTTCCCTGTGTGCCCTAGGGGAAATCCCAGATTCGGGTTTACCGGATCGGATGATGGCACATCATCAATCTTGTAGGTAGGGCGACAATTTTCGCTAGGATGATGGCTTTGGGTTCATCTGTGTATTTATTTTACAAGGCCTTGTTGAATAATGCAATAAAGATGGCTGTATGCATCGCTCCATGCAGAGGCCGGGGGTAATCCTCCTTTTCAAAAAAAAAAGGTTAACTACCTGAACTATTTTATTTAGATTTAAGTGCAAATTGACTAGTCCTACCCAATTATTCGTAAAAATGGACGCCAATGAAACAATAACTCCAAGTACATCCACTTGCTAGCTAATGGAGTACATGTTTGGAGGAGGCAAGCAAAGTGGGTTGTCATTGTCATCCTAGCTAGCACAGACTTCTATACTTAATCGGCTTCATTAACTTGGCTCTAGACGAGGCCGAAAGGTATTATATTTTAACAATTATTGCTTGATTGTTGTGACAGCTGGCCATGTATAGCGCGGCGCAGATCTAGAAAGGGTCGCGCTGAGCATCTTAATTATTAGCTGGAAACTCTGGCCTAGATTAGCTTGACGCATCTTCTTAGCTGGATACCATAGCTTGAAGCATCTTCTTTCTTGTGACGGCAGGGATCCACTTCGGCGGCGAGTTAAGAAGAAAGACTCCGATATCTCCGGTGCCCGGGCTGGCCGGCCGCCGGCAAATCTTAAGGTTAGCCGGTGCCAATTAATCCAAGTGCTCTTTCCATCGAGTTGCCTGCTTGTTTGACTTCATATCCATGCTCATTGCTACATGCGCTTGCTTAAACTTGATGTAGAATGCCGCCACATGTTCTCAATCTTTGTTTCGTTTAATTTGAACTGGATAGAGATAAGGTTTGCATAGATCAGAACTTGAGCTCACATCAGAAGTAGTTTAATTTGTTCCATTGTTCTGTTTCTGGCTCTGTCGATCAGTGTGACATGCGTTCCCTTGTGTGTATTTTTTCGTGTTCTCAAACCAGCATGGGTGATATCGACAGCCTACGGAATACTCTTGTGAACATACTATTGGATCCAACTGTGGAGGCCAAACAGCTACCACTTTCACTTTTTGAGAATATCACTGATAATTTCTCAGATGAACGTGTTGTGGGAAGAGGAGGGTTTGGTACCGTTTACAAGGTATTTCAGTTAACTCTTCACAGCTCCAATATATTTACAATCTCTGGATTCTTCTCACCCATATAACCGATAGTAGTATAAAATCTCTGTCTCTCATACACATAAAACAGGGGTTTCTTCCAAATGACAGAGTGGTCGCTGTTAAGAGGCTTAAGATTAATCGACGGGTTGTTGATGATAAGTCATTTTATGCTGAGGTTGCTAGTATGAAGATGCTGAGAAACAAGAACGTTGTACGGCTGCTAGGCTACTGCATTCACATGGAGGAAAAAGAAATCTTATATGATGGGGAAAAAATTGCTGCAGAAAAGCGAGAAAGGCTGCTCTGCATGGAGTTTGTACCCCACGGGCCCGTAAAAAAGGGTGGTATGATATAATCCACAGAAAACACATTTACTGGCTTGTTATGTTTTCAATTTCATTCCATAATATCTCCAATTCTTCCATTTTCTTCCTAGCCTCCTACAGTACATTGCTAGATGTACTCTTCTACATCAGGACTGTTAACCCATTTTAATTAGGTGTTGGACATGATTACAATTAGCCATCAAATAGTGCAACTCAATGGTCTGCTGTTGTTTTCTTTGACACAAAAATGAGTCTCTGGGATAAGTATAACACAGTTTCCTTCGGGACCAACTATTAATTACTTTTGCAACTTGCAAACAAAATAGAAATGAATTATGCTACCTGTTTCCTTGTGTAGGTCCACCCGGTGGAGCAGAATGGCCTGACCGCCATCAGATAATAAAGGGGATCTGTAATGGTTTAGATTACATTCACAGCAAAGGGTTTATTCATTTGGACTTGAAACCCGACAATATACTGTTGGACAAGGGCATGGTACCGAAGATCGCAGATTTTGGTATCTCACGGTTCTTTGATGATGAAAACACGTCCAGTACCCTCAGCTTTGTTGGAACAAGGTAAGCTAACTATCCTAAGAGAATATTGATGCTAATTATTCCTTCTATTAATGCTCTACATGGTATTATCGTTATTGTCGTGGTTACAGGGGATACACGGCCCCAGAGTACATCGACGATGGCCTTGTGTCAAACAAGGCTGACATATACAGTCTTGGGACTGTAATATTTGAACTTCTGACAGATTTTAAAGGCCCTAAGCTTTACCAAAAGGCACAAGAGGACAATGAAAGTTTCGTACAACAGGTCAGTTAGAAGCATTGGCATGTTGTGCCTTGGAATTCAAAAGAGTTTTTAATGTGACAAATACTTACTATTGTGTATAAAATTGTAGTAAGTTATTTTGGCCAGCATGTTTGCTGACATTGCTATTTCCATCAAATAAACATTATATTGCTGGTAAAATGAATATAAAAGTTACCACGTCACAAACCAACGAATATATGGGTTTAATTATTATGGTTGTCTCCCCACGAAGGAAAAAAAGTAGATTGTTGCAAGGAAAACTATTAGAATTTCTCGAAAAAAAAAACTACTAGAATAGTTTCCCGCACATAATTGTGTATACCCTTAGGAGGGGGGGGGGGTACAATCATGTAGTTGTGGTAGACCCATGGACGGTATGTGAAATTAATTAGGTGGAGATTTTGTCATACTGTTCACTATAAAAACATTAGGTTTTTCATATAAGTTCTCATATGTATGGTTTTCTTCATATAAAAAGAACGATGGAATTCTTCAACTTCCATGGTTTAAAAATTCGTTGACATTTTCGAATTTTCTCTTACGATACTCCCTCCGTCCGGAATTACTTGTTGCAGAAATGGATGTATCAAGACTTATTTTAACTATAGATGCATCCATTTCTATCCATTTCCGTGACAAGGTTTTCGGATGGTGGGAGTAGTACTTGCACGAAAATTTTGTGCCGAAATTTAACAGCGTTTGCACGAAAATAACAATTTTTTTTATTTTGGCGTATTGCGGTGCGGACAAGCATGTTTCATTTCCAAAATTTAAAGCCTTGCTGGTATGTTTTTTCACATTACGCTAACTATGCCTTTCCAACTTAAAGGAATTAGAAAAGTGGACTGAGGCATTGAGAAGAACTCACCAAGGGTGTGCACTTGAGTTTGCTACCAAAGAGGTGGAAACATGCCTTAGGATTGCATTGAACTGTAAGGACCACAATCGGCATCGCAGGCGTACGGCAAAGCAAATATCACAAATTCTTGATCTGGTAAGAAGCTTGTAATTTTCAGAATTACAAAACTGATAGCTGTTGCCGGACCTCTGTCCACCTGTCTGACTGACGAAGAGAGTGACAAGGAGGTGCTCCACCTTTTGCCCTTACCAGCAGGCAGCCTGCGGTTGAGACCAACAATGACATTCTCAAAGTCTCAAACCGGGCATCTTTTGTTCCTTCCCTTCTTGAAATACCTCAGTTTATTCTTGCGTAGATTTGCCTGCCCTGACTCCTTCGGTAGATGAAGTTGCATGTTTCTTAGAAATAGCATTAAATGTATATAACCCTTATTTTTCAATAGAAGCGCAATTCATTATTTTACTGGTGATAATTATAATGTTGTACTCTAACATCATGCAGACCTTGGACCCATATATTCTGGACCCAGATAAACCTGAGGTGATTTAGTGCTTGTAGGAAATGACATCCTCAATGTTCATCCTCAATTTTCAACAGTGGTTTGCTTTTGCAAAAAGTTGTTAAATTGACAGGTTATGACATCCTCAATGTTCATTTTATGCAGGAAGCTGTGCATGTAGAGAACTTCAGTTCACTGCAAGACATGGATTTGCATCCAAGTCAACCTTGGTAAGTGCGAATTAGCTCTGTTTGATTTTGTACACGCACATCAGTTTTGCCCCCCGCGTTTAAATCAAAATGAACATCGGTATCATGAGTTCAGCAACTACACCCTCTGTCCCAAAATATAAGAACGTTTTTAACACTAGTGTAGTGTTAAAATCGTTCTTATATTATGGGACGGAGGGAGTATTTTACAAGCTTACAAGACATAATGGAAAAAAAACACTAATACAGCTAAGAGTGTAGAAAGCAAAACCATAGTCTAAACCAAATCATCAACTTAATTATTACCGAGCTAAAATGAAAAACAGGGACAAAAATCATCAACCACTACAGCTCCACACTGAGCTTCTTTGGCGCTCAGGGGCATGGTGACCATATTCCCATCGATGACAGCCTGCTCATGGGCGTCTTGACCAGCCACACATGCTCTATTGGAAAAGATGACAACTTAGATATGTGCGACCTGAGGCAGCTTCTCAAAAGCACACCACTGTTGCCCGTTAGTTATAGATGAGAATTAAATTATCTTGAAATCTTAATAAAGCACGGACAAATCTTGAGACAGCATGCAACGGTCAGCATGGCTCCTAGTAAATACAAGCCCGAATTTTATTTTAATCCAGGTTTTTAATGCAATATAATGTTGACTAAGTTAGTTTAAAATTATTTCAAAACATAGTTACTGTTAACAATGTTCATTTTTTCCATTGTCATAAGTTGAGCCAAAAATATGTTGACGAATAGCCACTTGTATGATGCAGGATTCTGTTAAGTCTCTTGTCCGGGTACATTGTAATGTTAAACTACGACACCAAGGCAAGTTACTGTTTATTGTGAATAAACAGAGGCACCATTATTTAAGTCATTATTTAAGTTATGAATTTCTTCGCAGGTAACTCTGGCACCGTTTAAACTGAGCGACAAGCCAGGCATGTTTACTCCGTCCACCGCTTACGACCTTTCGATTCATGTTACCTTTGCAGCATTGTAACCAATCACAGTACACGCCTGTTTGTTGCCTCTGCATGCAGTTCATTCAGCTAAATTTGTGGAAGGGAACCGCGATTGGAATATTGTGGCCGGTGACGATCATGGGGTCCTGTATGTGTGCAACTTCGATTGGATTGAAGAGGGGCTCGTGAAGGTTAAAACTGTCGTTGCTAGTGAGGGTAAGGGTATCATATCTCTGGCAGTCAATCCATCCCAGCGTTATGTGTTACTATCTACTGGATCCACCATTATGATCCGGAACACAGAGGACTGGACGTGTATGTATGAAGGGCCAAGCTACTTCAGAACAGTGACTCATGCCTCTTTTAACACTGACAAGGATGAATCATTTGGTGTTGGTTTCTGTGATGGATCAGTAAAGGTATTTGCAGATACAGCAAGGAAATGTGTTACATATATCTCCTATCATCATGGTTTTCCCACGTACCTAACAAAGGTATATGTACATTTCTATGTACACAGCTGTGGAGTCATGATCCTCTGACAGCTTCAGCAGGCAATCAGGAGCCTTACGTTGTGGTGCGTGGTCATTCAGAGCAAGTATGCTCAGTCGATTACTTCATCGGCAATTCTGAAGGACTTCACTCTCCTGCAAGGTTTCTAGTTACTGGATCTATGGATAAGACTGCCAAGGTATGTACACAAAGAACTAGGGCTTGTATACTCAGAACGATTGGTGTATGACGTGTAATAAAATTAATGTTGGATGAATCAAATAGGTGTGGAAGTACGATGATAAGCCCAAGGATTATCTTGGGGTTGCATCTGTTACAGAACCAGAAGCCACGCTTAAACATGCCGGCGGTGTAACTGCGACCTGCTATGTCCCCGAGTTGAAAATCATATTAAGTGGAACAGATAACGGAGTTGTCACGGTGTGGTGCGCAGTAACATACAGGTACACACTAACTGTTGTGTCGTACTAACAGTTAAGTTTGCTCCTCTGACCAATTTTATGTGTACCTTCCGTATAATATCATACCCATTAGGATACCTTCCGGGCACATAAATTGTTTCTCACTCACTAAATAGTTTGCATTTTTCTGAATGGTCTTTTGATAACTTTTTAATTGTAAAAGTTGGTATGCAAAACTGCATTGTCATCATAATCTACCAATATACCTAACCTAACGTCAGTCTTATGGAGAACACTCTCACTTTCTTTGAGTTTCTCTTATTAGTTCCATCTTTCAGTTCCAATTTTGTTCTTCCAAAATGGATGGAGTGCCTCTGGCCTCCACATCGCGTGGTTGATGCACACAGCCACTATCTCAGAATTTAGCAATATATTTGAGTTCTTTCTATACTAGTAATATCGCAAAAACATAAGCATATTTGCAATATAGCAAATATTGTTATTATCGGAATGCATGCTCTCCAAGAATAAACATGGTCCCTCTTATCTTCCCTTTTCACATGATTGGTAGGAGTATATTTGAGCCATTTATTTTATTAAGTAGTGGGTCTGAGTAACTCTTACCTTCTTACCACCCATGTGGAAAGAGATGGACCATGTTAAATTGCTGATAGGGGAAGAGCATCTTCCACAGCCCTCTTAGCAGAGCAGAGAATGACGTGAATCTTACCAACCGTGCAGCTTCTTTTTTTCTTTGCCGGCTGCAGCTGCTTCCACTCAAAAACAAGGGATATTGTGTAGCACCTGATCAGGAGAACAAGAAACACAATGATTAAAAGACTAAATCAGCTCTAAATCATTACGTGTCTTCTGGATTAACCAAGCAATCCAAAATTTGCATGTAGCCGTCGAGCCCCCAGGCCACAGACATATATGGTATATCACTGAAAAATGTCATTACTTTTTAGCAGTGGAAGTCGGGCGTCAATGTAGTTTATATTTTTTTCTATACGGATGCTTCATTTCTTATACATTAATTTTTGAAGAAATAATAGTAATATATTTCTTGACATTTCCTAGCTGGAAGAGGTACCTATGCTTTGGTCTCGGGCGAGTTCACAGTCTAGCATGTTCAACTGGAGGAAGGTAACTAAATTGTGCTATCAATTCTTGTTTTTGTTACCCTAAAAATTTTATTTTTATTGGCTTGTCGACAATGTCCTTGATTATGTATGTGTAGCAGAGCAAATTATGCTCTAAAGTAGGTAGAGGCCGGGTTAGGTTAATGATGAAAAATGAATATTAAAAAAAAATAGAGGTCGACCAGTGAGCAATACCCTCTCTATGCTTTTACTGTTTTATAAAACATGTAGCCATATATAACACTCACAGCCTTACACCTTGTAATGTTGCCTCCCGGTTAATTTCCGCTTCGCAGACATGCACAGGACTATGTTGCTAGCTTGTAATATTCCTTGTGTTCGCGTGTTACTTAACCTCCTCTATTGCATAATTTATACATGCTCGTCTTTTAGATGCTTGAGGGTGAGCTTCAACAGCATGGCTACAAGTGTTGAATTTTGTCTTGTGATGACCTCTTTATGTATGGACCATATACTAAATTTACGACTTCACAGATGCTTGTTCACATGTGTAACTATTTTTTCTGTAGGATATTCATCGGACATGAGCATGGACTGGTACTGGTAGATATTGGTCTGCAACAGCTTTGAAATTAAATGGAGAGGCATCAAGCCGCTGGTATGGACAGCAGCAACAAACAAGAGAGGTAAAGATGGTTCTTTAATTCCCTGAATTTAGAACTACCTCCGTTCCGATATACTTGTCGCTCAAACGATGTATCTAGATACATCTACCGAAAAAGGCTCACGCCCCGCTTTATAGATAAAGCCAATGCCAAAGCCAACATCCACAAGGTTCACACCACCAAGGTTCACACACACACACAGTCCAGGAACAAACAAGCATCAAGGGTTAGTGCTGAGGGCACAGCTCAACAAGCCCAACACACACACAAAAAGCGGCACACACGCCGGGAGAGAGACGCCTCTAGTCGGGCTCCGGGGGAGGCGGCGGGAGCGGCGGAGCCAGGCGGAAGGCCAACGAACGAAGGTCGGAGAGGAGTCTGTCGATGGCATCCCGGTCCGGAGGGCGGCTAAGCGGCCGCCAGAGCTGCAAGTAACCACACATTTTGAAGATGGAGTCAGTCGCACGTCGAAGAGGCACCTTCTGAATGACAAGCTTATTGCGAACCGTCCACAACGTCCAAGCCAGCACCCCAACGCACAGCCATCTAATATGTCTGTAGCGTGGAGGGGAGGCCTGGATTTCCGCAAGCAAGTCGGGGAAGTTGTTATTACACCACTGTCCCCCAACCGTTTCGCGAAAACACGCCCATAGGAACTGTGCCGTGCAACAGGAGAAGAAGATGTGATTGGCATCCTCCGCCGTGTCACATAGGGGGCACATCCCATCCCCAGGCCCATGGCGCTTGAGGACCTCCACGCCGGACGGTAGGCGGCCGCGGATCCATTGCCACAAGAAGATCCGGATCTTAAGTGGGAGGCGGATGTCCCAGATAAGGCCGAATGGCTCCGGGGCAACTGATGGGGCAATAGCCGCGTAAAGGGACTTGGTGGAGAAGCGGCCTGAGGAATCCAGACGCCAGGAGATGGCATCCGGAGAGTCAGCCACGTCCATAGGCAACAGGGCGATGTCCTGGAGGAGGACATCCCAAGCAGCCACCTCGGCAGGGCCAAAAGGACGACGAAACGCGAGGCGCCCTAAGTCAATAAGGGCCGCCTCGACCGAGACCCGAGGGTCAACTAAAATGTCGAAGAGGATGGGGAACCGGGCGGCCAGGGGGGAGTCCCCTAGCCACCTATCAAGCCAAAACAAGGTCGAGGCGCCAGAGCCCACCGAGATGGAGGTGCCTATCCTCAGGACTGGAAGCAGCTGGACGACTGCCTGCCAAAACTGGGAACCGCCCGAGCGCTGGCAGAATGCCAGAGGCTGGCCACGCAGGTACTTGTTCCGAATGATAGTCAACCAAAGGCCTCCCTCCCCATTGGCAATGCGCCATAGCCAGCGGGTGAGGAGGGCGATGTTCATGCGCCGAGAGGACACAATCCCAAGGCCACCCTGGTCTTTGGGTTTGCAGATGTCTGGCCAGCTGACCATGTGATATTTCTGTCTGCCTGCCTCGCCAGCCCAGAAAAATCTGGCCTGGTACTTGGCGATCTCCTGATGAAGGGTTTCATGAAGGCTGTAAAAGCTCATGAGGAACCACAGAAGGCTGGCAAGCGACGAGTTGATAAGGATCACACGTGCCGCCTTCGACAGCCAACGCCCTTTCCAGGGCTCAACTCGGTGCTGCATACGGGTCACCGTGGGGCGGAGGTCCGCCACGGTGAGGCGCGAGTCGCTAATGGGGATCCCCAGATAGGTCGTGGGAAAAGATCCCAGCCGGCAGTTAAGCCGATCGGCAATGGACTGAGCGTCCTCATCGGGGTAGCCGAGCACCATCACTTCGCTCTTGTCAAAGTTGATGGTCAGGCCCGACATTTGCTGGAAGCACAGAAGGAGGAACTTCAGGTTGGAAATCTCGAGGGCGGATCCCTCTGTCATAATAATGGTGTCATCCGCGTATTGGAGAAGGGTCACCCCTCCCCCTCCAACAAGGTGCGGGACCAAGCCTCGAATATGCCCCGCAGCCGTGGCCTTAACTAGGATGGCGGCCAGGGCATCGACAACCATGTTGAACAAGAACGGCGAGAAGGGGTCCCCCTGCCGAACCCCACAAAGGGTAGGGAAGAAGGGTCCAATCTCGCCGTTGATGTTCACCGCAGTCCGGCCGCAGGAGACGAGCTGCATGACGCGGGTCACCCACCGATCGTCAAAGCCCTTGCGAAGCAGGACTTCCCTCAGGAACGGCCAGTGGACCGTGTCATAGGCTTTGTGGAAGTCCAGCTTAAGGAAGACTGCCCTGTGGCGCTTCAGACAAACCTCGTGGAGCACTTCGTGGAACACCAACACCCCATCCAGGATAAATCGGCCTTGAATGAAGGCGGATTGGTTCGGGTGGGTAATAGTGTCCGCAAGGAGGGTCACCCTATTGGCGTACCCCTTCGCCAGAATCCTAAAGATCACATTAATAACTATGATGGGGCGGAACTGGCGGATATCGGCGGCACTCGGGACCTTGGGGATGAGGGTCACCACACCATAGTTAAGGCGCCCCAAATCCATGGTACCAGAGTAGAATTCCTCAAAGAGAGCCATGACCTCATGCTTGATGGCAGGCCAGAACGTCTTGAAGAAAGCTACAGGTAAACCATCAGGTCCCGGGGCCGAGGAGGGGTTCATCCCCCTAATGGCAGCGAGGACCTCGTCCTCACTGAAAGGAGCAACCAAGGCCGCATTGGCTGCAGCCGAGACTCCAAGCGCCCCCGACCAAATGTCGGGGGCAAGGCTAGCCCCACCACGCGGGGTGGGGGTAAATAAGGCCCTATAGAAGCCATCCACATGGAGGCGGATGGCCGTGGGCTGCACTAACTGCGCATCTCCATCCCACAGGCAGTGGATGGAGTTGCGACGGCGCCGGCCGTTCGCAACCGCCTGGAAGTAGGCGGTGTTTGCGTCGCCCTGAAGCACCCATCTCTGGGTGCCCCGTAGGCGCCAGTAGGCCTCCTCGTCCGTGTAGATGAGGGATAGCTGGTCCTCTAGGTCGTAGCGCAGCAGCCACTCATCCGAGGAGAGCCCGGTCGAGTCCGCGCGCGCATCCAAGGCTTGAATCGCCACAAGGATGGAATTCTTGCGCTCTCTCAGGTCCCGGCCAAGATTAGCCCCCCAACCCTTCATGAACTGGCGGGCTAACTTGGCACAAAAGTGCCAAGTATCGACCGCGGACATGGCGCGATGGGGTGCCGACCTGGCGAAGATCCAGCGGGCGACGACGGCCTC